TATTTTTTACTATATTTTATTATTATTACAAATTTAAATTTTGTTGTTTTGATTCTATTATATTATAAACCTAAACTACTTTGTTCAATTGTATCTCCTCTCTCTCTACTGATTTTAAATAACACTCGAATGATTTTTCTCATCTTTTTGATTTTAAAATATCATTCTAATACTATTTTCTCGTCATTTTATATTCCAAATCCATTTTGATAACTATTATCAAGGTTACATTGTCCTCTAGCATCTCCACTCCCTCTGCTAATTTCAAATACCACTTGGATGCTTTTCTCATCGTTTTGAGTTCCTATACATTTTGATAACACCAACTCGAGATTGCATTGTCCGTTAGCATCACCACCTTCTGCTGATTTAAATATCACTCGAATGCTTTTTTTTCGTCCCTTTGAGTTCCTATATCCTTTCGATAATGATAAAAGATAGTGCAATGTCCGCCAGTATTTTCACTCCCTATTGATTTCAAAAAATCATTCAGATGCTTTTTTCTCGTCTTTTCGAGTTCCTATACCATTTCGATAAAAAAAATACCGAGATTAAGTTGTCCTTTAGCATATTCACTCACTGCTGATTGTAATACTCGAATGATTTTTTCTCGTCCTTTTGAGTTCATATACCATTTTGATAACGCCAACTGAGATTACATTGTTCACTACAATCACCACTTTCTGCTGATTTCAAATACCATTCAAATACTTTTTCTCGTCCTTCTGTGTTCCGATTCCTTATTGGTAGGCATATCCTAGAAAGGGTTGAGCTGAATGGTTGTTATTACTTGATAACTCAATATAAATATTCAATGTTGATACAACATTCTTTTCAACTATGTACTCAAATTGATAAAGAAACGTTAAAAGTAGCTATTATTTTTTGAATTTCAAAAGACTTGTGACTGTATAAGTCGTAACACAATTGTAGGCACCTAAACTTTTCTTAGCAGGTGATTTAAGAGTGCTATTAATTCGTCAACAATTTTTTAATACTTATCATCATTTGAAACTTCCTTGCTTTCAGCTTCGGTAGCTAAATCTTTATCTTTATCTGTATAGAAATCTAGTTCTGACAGATTTTAAAAACATCAATGGCCACTCGAGTTTATTAAATTGTTTACTTCATATACATGTATATCGATATGTTGTGCCTCAGATCACGCTCAGCCCAAATTAAGATAAGGGTATTACTAAAGTTAGGTTTGGGTTAACGTTAATGCTGGGAGATGAGTTAACGTTGGCCGAAATGAGCACGTGAAGTATGATCTGAGGCACAACATATATATTTATCAGGCGTCCTGTGAATCGGTTTTTTCTGCCTGTATATTATTGGAATACGACCGCTAAAAGTTACCCAGAAAAAAACACCGAGACTATAGATATCTGATTTTTTGTTACGTAGAAAATTTTCCGTATCTAATTCGAGATCAATATAACTTAATACTCCGCAATTAGTTTTCGAAATTGAATTTTCGTTCGAAAGTTCAAATGTTCTAAATCTGCAATGTTCATTTTCTTTTGTGGATGAGGATGTTATTATGATTCTGGGATCAAAAAAATCTTTAATCAGTATAAGTATTTGAGTTTTTGGTTCAACTAAGAAATATTTGATACAAAGCGTGAAATTTGTAAGTCTTTAGTTATTATTTATTCTTCTAAAGGTGATAAATACCTCTGATAAATTTTTATTTGTGTTTCTCACCACCTAGACAACGACTCCTCAAAGCTACAGTCAAATCTTCGTGTTTCATTTTTGCTCTATAAACTTCACCAAACAATGATTTTTTTACCGGAAATTCACTAAAATTTTATTTGATTTTCTTTTATTGCAGATAATGGTATGTTTGCATTTACATTTGTGGTCGATATCATAATTTAGTTTCGTTAAAAGACCTGCTAATACATGTACATGCACATGTACCAACGTACATAATGGTAAAGTACATGTAGCTTTAAAATGTGTGTAGTAACGTAGAAACTATGGGCTTAATTGGTACTGAGGGTACTAGAAATTTTTTGCGTTGAACTGATACAGAGGTTGATCGGACCGGACTAGGCTAGACCGGGTTGGATAATGCAGCAAAGAATTGAACTGGACTAGGACTCCACATGATTATGAGTCATAAACTTAGTATGGACGTCACACTTAGCGTTAGTAATAGACTCATAGTAATGAATTTTAAACCATCGCTTTAATGAAATAAGAATAATACCCAAACTAGATATTGTATCTGGTGTTGAATAGTTTGCATAACGAGCCATTATCTGTGCACTCAAGATAGTCGCGAACCGGTGCTCTTCTTGTTTTTCTTATATCGCGTTAAAGCCGAATCTTCGATGGACATGTTTTTTGATCATTTATTTATGAAAACTCTGAAAAGTACATTTAAATAAAGGGGAATTTCTTAAAAATAATTAAATCACGTCTTGCAGTCTTGGATCAATTCGATCCTGTCCTGTTCTAAATCAATCCTATGGATGGACCAACATCCTAACGGCTCAGACTGAACCTTTAAGATCCCTAGCCACTGTATACCGTGATATTTGGAAAAATCAAAACCAAATTCTAAATCATAAGTTTGTCATTTTGACAGCGGTGATGATAAAATAAAACACTTTCTAATTTTATAATGCAACGTTGGAATCAAGACCCACAAAACAAATGAAGCTCATTTCAAATTGAAATAAAAATACGTTCAGACCCGTATTATCAACCTCGATAATATCAACACCCGTTGTTAGCAACATTGGTCGCAGAACAGATTTCAAATGATGCTCAATTATATATTAACTCTAAACCCCCGTTGTATGTATCAACAAAATAGCCCGGTTCCATGATGTTGATAACAACAAAGGACGACTGTACACAGTTTGAAAGAGCTGAAGGTGTTATATCTAAAAGTCGTACACTCCGCAATGTACCTATTTTGTAGTGCGAAATACCCCCTGGGTTCTCTTACATTCTACACACACGTTTTATTTGATTTGTGCCTGAAGGCAGTGTTGTCGTGGGACAGTGACGTGGACACGCCGGGACGGGTCAGTCCGCGTCCATGTTTGGCATTTCTTTATGTCCGAGACTTTGGTCTCCGCGTCTATTAGTGTTAATGCCAGCACATCACTTGTTAATTCTGGTTAAGGGACTTTATTGCTAGTCTATGTTGATATTGACTTGTCCCATGTCACCAAAAATTGCCGGATAACGTCCGTGTACAACACTGTCCCTGAGGGTACACTGTATGATGTATGATATACTATAAAGAGGAATCTTATGTGAGGGGAATATATTACGAGTGTATAATCAAAATTGACGATAATGTATATATCGATATTTTGTAAATACAAATCATGGGATATTTCAAAGTGAGTATTCCACACTGCGAAATACAGCAAATCTGGAATATATAAATTTATTATTAATATATCAATTCATTATAATTTTATCAAAATACTGAGTTTAAAATAAAGAAAATACTGTATCGAGTAAATATCAAATTAATTGGCTGTTATTAAGAGTTTTTTTAAAATTCGAGCCATGATGCTGCTAGCACAATTCACCATAGCCATGTAATTCTTACACATACGAGAATGTCCGAATATGCATTTTTATACTTAGACATTATTTCGAAAAATCTTTGACTTTCGAAAAACTACTATCAGATTTTCTTTTTTTAGATTCTTGATGAATACGTAATCGTTTCATTAATAAAACAGAATAAATTCAAGTGATGCAATACCTAACGACGACGAATTAAATTCCATGTCGCTGTGCATATTTCTGTGAACCCACGCCTCCATCGGATAAAGGTAATCTCATTTTTTCTATCACATTTGTTTTTTTTTAATTAACGGAGTACGGAGTAATACTCTATTATATATTATATACATGAATTTTGCTTTATTTTGTCGGAGTTTTGTTTTTCTCGCTATTAAAGGATAAGAATCGATAAAAACAGATATAATAAAGCAAAAAATGCAACACATTACCGTTACTCTGAACTTCCATGATTAACAAAAAAAAAAAAGGTAATCAGCAAAAGAAAGTAATATCCAATGGGGTTAGCGTTTAACTTCAATATCCAAAAGTTTGCCGCAGATACATGTATCGCATCCTTAGACAGATTCTTATTTAGTAACACTGGTTATCATTATATCGTAGTGAAAGATCAAACTGACTGTTACACTGCAACTCGACACAATAAATATCGTGTTAATACATGTATATTAGTGAAACCATAGTTCGGTTAATTTCGGCACCTCGAACTGGCGTTTATAATAATAACGATTGCCAACTCCAATCTAATTAATTATTATTTCATTAAATTTATTATCACAAAATTAATGAATAATTTGAATATAACGATAACGATTATGATTCTTTCAAACTAACGCTAACGCTAAATTATGCGCATAAGTTTATTCATCGTCTTCGCGTTCAAAAACCACTCGATTCATATCATTAAAGTACATGTCATGTCATGTAAACGGGATTTTGACATTGCCGCTACCACATACAAGAAGGCGTTATATCATTAAAAAAAAAAACAAACAATTTCGATTGTTTTAATTAACAAAGATGTTTGAGCATCCAATGACGTAACGCTGACTCATAGAAATTACTTATAATAATCATTGATGCACGAAAGGCATTTTATTTTTCCTTTTCCTTCACTAACAAGTGTTCACAATGATCACTATTAAAAAGGGTACTTTTTACTAACGGAATATCGTTACTTTTTAGTTTGTTTATAGAGATTGGATGTGATACAGAGCAAGTGGCTGCTTACATTGAGCGCATGATTATCTTGGTTTCATATGGATTCAATGTACTAAGCAAAACAAGATCAATTATTATTATTATACGACGTGGCATAGAATGTTTGAAACTGATTTATATAAATACGATAGGTGTGAAAAGGACGTCGGTGAATAAAGAAAAAATTTTGTTTCTTATCATCAAACTCTATTTCATTTGAAAATTTCAAATCTCTAAAAATGAGAAACCAAATCAAAACTTCAAAACCCGTCAAAGTGGAACCACACTACTGCTCCTTCCACACAAAACCAAAACGGTCAACAGTGCAAATACTAAAGATTGCGAGATTCTTTTCGTCGATTTCACTGAGTCAAAAAAATAAAGTACGTGCGAGAGGTGTTGGACCACAACCGCAGAAAAAATTTATAATACCGACGATTATTGTCACGTGTAGTGATGACGACGACAGTGACACAAACAATACTGACACGCTGAAAAATGGGCCTGCAGAGAAGTCAGGAAAAATCGTCTTCACAGGGGATGAAGGAATATTTGGGAATAAATTTATGGCTATTGATAAACCTCCATCTTATGATGAGACTATGTTGAATAATTATAATTCGCGAGTTATAATTCGCGAGTAATTGTGTTGAAATCAAATTTCGCGTCAATATAAATTATGTAAATAGTCTTCATTCATTGTAATAATATTATAAATAAGATCTTTTTCTTGAAATAGAATTTATTGAAAGAATTTTCATTATTTACAATCATTCAAAAAATACCAATGATTATGAATCTTATGTATTCGACTTACCACAAAATAGAAATAAAAAAATTTTTTACAAGTCCAATATCCAAAATGATTAAAACTCGCAGGTGATTTTTGTTAATACATGTACATGTATTTTACTGATAAATGTACATGTACAAGACTTGGCATCATCAAAATACTTTAATTTGCCAAGAATCAGATCCACTTTCTTTAACAAGATAAAACGTGTTGATGTTCAATTTTTGAACCAATAAGAATATTAACGTGAAAGGTACTACGTACATGTATACCATTCATAGAATTATACAGAAGCATGCACTGAACTGTACTGTATAACGATAATGTAATACGCCAATAATTTAAAATTATCCATCATTATTTGTACAAAATCAATGTTCCGAAATTTCCTCAACTAATAATACAATTTCCTCAACAAGTTTCTCGAATCAATACTAAAACATTTCTATTGAAAAAGAACATTATTCAATTCACCCTGCATAGCAATAGGAACCAGAAAAGATATGTGCATTGATGCGGTTTGTAAACTCCGGACATAATAAAAATAAACTAGCGCTAATGCACATGATCATGTTCCGTACTACCGAAGATTTTTCCATTTCAACAAATGCATGTTCTACGAGAATGCCAAGAGGAGTTTTAAAAATACACACGTTGCACATTACACGGGTTGAACCATTTCCGAAAACTGTTATATAAGTTGAGATAATTTTGTTTAGAGAACGCACGTCTTGTAAAGAATTCAAAAGACAAAGATAAATTTATAACTAATTGTTTCATTATCTTGACTCTTTCCTACCTTTTCTTTATTCATTTTAAACCAACAAAAATGTGTAAATGCGCAGAAAATCATTTTCTTCGTAAACTTGTTTCTTCTCTTTTTGAACAGGGAAAGTTAGCATATTTTCAATTTGATAACATATTCAAAGAGATTTTGATTGAAGTTCTCAGTGAAGAAATTAAATATCACAAAAATCACATTGGTCAGGATAATAATTGGAAAAAGATTTCAAAGCATCATCATTGCAATCATAACCATCATAAACACAAATCTAATTGCTCGAATTCGGAAACAGAAAATATTGACACTCCAACAACATGTACTTCAGCATCAATGCCAACTGGGTCACGATTACAGTGCGACAATTCGACTTTCGAAATAAAACTATCACCACCACCACATCGCCCAAAAGGTCCGCGCAAGGAAAAAATTTTCACACAAAAAAAAAGAAACCAAATTTCATCAAATACCACAGCTGAACCAACATCGACATCAACAACGCAACCAGCTTCACAAGAGTATCAAATTGATTTTGATACTGCTAAAGTTAAAGAAGCTCAATTATATATAATGAGTAGAAAGCCACCTTGTGAAGATGTTTTCTTTCCGACACCGTCAGCGCCGCATTGGAAACAATTCGATTCCTGAATTTCACTTTTTAATTTTTTTTATATTGTAGATTAAAATTTCCTTTGTATTAATAGATAAGCATAATATTGTAAATAATATCAATATATATTTAACGTTAACTCCTAAAAAAATAAAATTCCAAATCTCGAATCCATTCTATATTTGAAGTTTATTGTGAGAAATCTATTGTGAAATTCATTGTATGAAATAGGATAAATTGACCAATCCATGCTAAATATTTTCTCATTTATTTCGAAACAAGCATAGAATGCATCGGCATGTGTAAAATGATTAATTTTGCTAACGCTAACGCTAACGAGGAAACAAAAGAAATCTTTTTTCATAAAAAATAATACGTAAAAGGAAAGATCTTTACTACTAAAACCGGAAAATTGTTTGCTAATATTTTTGTTTTTTATTATTATCCCGACAACGAGCGCCATACATACGTAATTGCTATTTTTAGGATAAACTACATACGTATTTATATACGTATTGCTATTTACTTTTATAGGCCTGCCTGTGAAAGTTTTTTCAAACAGTTTAAATGTCGAGAACTGCATAATCGACTTTTTTATTGTCTAAATGCGTGAAGGTGACATTATGATTTAATGTAAATGTTTGATCGGAAACTACTGACGTATATCCGTATGTGCCTGCTGGAACTGCTATATACGTATTATTTAATAGTTTTACCGATATTTTCTTTTAATTATTGAGTCATCTTTTTGGTATCAATCAACTCTCAATGTTTCCTTAAATTCATCATATTCGTTAACAATTTACTTTCTTGGGTTATTCTATTTATTTCATTAGTTAGTATCTCTTTAATAAATAATATTGAATTGTTTTATTGAGAAGTATGACCTTGTCAATGGTAATAATCACTTTTTCATTCAGTAGTATTTACTCCATTTCCATTATTTTACTTCCCTGAATGAGTAATCATTATCCGTGTCCTTGTTAAGGAATTATTGTTTTGTCTTTTGAACTTAATAATTTTTGCTTATGTTTTAATTTTGTCTTCCAACTCTTGAATATACATCGGTCGTATCAATTGTTTGGTGATTTTATCTTTATATTTTCTAACTCGTTCATTTTACTATGAATTTCATTAAAACTCACCTTATGGATTTGGTTATAAAGGTGATTACAACGAAGGGGAATGAATGATTAATGGTGTGGACTTCTCTTCTTTAGCTCGGATGGAGGATTTCATAACACTTTACGGAATTGTTTTTTATTAAATGAATATATTAAGAAACACAAACCTAAATAAAGAAACCTCATTATATTTATATCACTTCATTTATATAATGTAATTGAAGGGATTAATTGCTGTTCGAAGCGAAAGTTAATCAATTAGGGAAATGATACCATACCACGGCTTTTTTTCACAGTTCGCTAACTACTGAGTATTTTGTTTGACGAGAAATGCGCCGCCGAGATATCCATCTCGATTATTCGAGCAACGGATTGGTCGGCAGTGAAAACAATTTCTTTGACATTTTTTATTTACATTTTTTTAATTTAATTCTGTATTCATATGTTTATTATTATTTTTTCATTATTCGATTGTTTAGTCAGATGTGACATTTACCATCACAAAAATTTTTATGTTCTGTTTCAGCTTCTTTACGACTTATCAAAAAAGTCGAGTTGTCCTTTTTCTCGTCATTGTTAGTTCTTGGTTGCTATACACTTCACTTTTCTTATCACATATTACAAGAAAGATATGCAGTCAACCTTCTGAATGTTAAATGTGAGTTTTTTGACTTCCTTTTGTAATTGTCCATTATTTTCGATTAATTAGTCGACGATTTTTCATTTGTTGTTATTAATTCTTAATCTTGTTCTTTCATTTTCACATTTTCTAACAATATAGTCAACTCTCCCTAACGCTAACGCTAAATGTAATTCACCGACTAATCAGACATGGATATGCACATGCATTAGAGATTGCATTTACGTATAGAGTTGTATATTTAAGGGTCATAAGCTTGTGATTGAGAAGAGCATGCATTTAGAGAGAGCATACATACATAGTACGTGCATTTATGAAGGCTGCATTAGGGAGAGTTGATTATAATAATATTCTTTTTCTATTTTCCATCAAGCTAATAGAACAACATTATTTATCAACCCACTTTAACGATATTAGGATACTGTCATAGTTTAACAGGTTTAACCACTATTCAAGTTAGCATTGGTTTACTTATAAGTTATCTTTTGATAATTTGTAGAAAACCCCTCTTTCTTCGTCTAATACTTTTAATTGGATTTTGAGTTTTTTGTTCCTCCCCGATTGATCCAAACGAACATCTTTTTTTTTTCATTTTTTCACTTATTGTTCTTATCATTTTTTTAAATGTTTTTGAATAAGGAAATAAATGTGATATTGTGATTTGGCTCCCTTTTGTAATGATGATGAACTATACCTTTCAATCACTCTGAGGATTGCCTCCTTTATATTTCCTTATTTTTTTTGTAGAGGTTGTGGCTTCCCTAACCATACGATAGGAGAATGAACTAGATGAACAATCACAAAATTGTTTTTCTAATTTTTGAGAGTTTAGAGCGATATGCTTAATAATATTATGTGTAAAGGAATTGTGGAGGAAGAGAAAGATCATTACTAAAACCGAACTTTAAAGGTTGAAATTGCTCAGTTTCCTATGGGGGTCTGTGACAAGTGTATTACTAACTATCGACAAATGAATACTATCAAAAGTGTATTACTAACTATCGACAAATGAATACTATCAAAAGAAAGGTTGTCATGATTACTAATTATTCAGTAGAAGCAAAGAGTGAGACATCACCTAACTCTTCATTATGTTTTTTTCAATTAATTGATACTGATTCATATGACACCTTCTTTGATGAGTATCGCATTCTAGATGACTTTGATAGTTTCACCAATAGAGGTCATAATTATACCTTGCACAATTTCCCTGAGGCTTATGATAAGGGTGAATTAGAATTATATTCGTTAGAAGCTCAAAAAGATACTTTAATCAACGAAGTTAAAACTGTCGTAAAGATTTAGTTCAAGCAGAAAAAGATTTAGATGAAGAAAAATTTGAAAATAAAGAAAAGGCAATTGATGATAAGATTGAGGCTCGAATTAAAGAGTTAAGAACAACTGAACTGTCTGTTATTATTTAATTCCATTATTTTTCCTTAAATATTCCCATTGGTCTGTTTTGGTAACAAACTCGACTGCTTCTTGTGGCATTTTAATAGCAGAGTATTCGTCTGAATTACTTTCTACTATTCCTAATTCAGCACATAGTTTATTCGCATCGGATTGGGTTTTTGCTTTATATACTTTGGTTGTAATTATAATAAACAAGTTGACTTGGCAACTTTCTTGGTTAACACTTTGGATATTTTCCTCAATCGCATCTTCGCAAAATATGCAATCATTTCAATCTCATTGTTTTCTTTTAACCAACTCATCTACTTGCTTCGGTCAACAATTAAGACAGATCCGTTCAATTAACTTATTATCTTTATCAAATACTGAATATAATCGAACTTCTCAAAATAATGCTTCTTACAAGTATTACAACCAAAATTCTTTCCCGAATGTTAAATTATTATTTTTTGTCATACTTTTCTTTTAGTACCTGATATCCTTCATTTGTCAAAGGTTTATAGTGTTTCACACAAGTGATAATTATTATAATTTCCTGCGGTATAACCATCAACTTAGAATTGTCATTCCTCTTTACAATCATCACCTAATTTTCAATCAACTCAATTGGGAATCGGTCTGATTTACTTTTATATTAGCAGGATTAAGGATAAATTAAGACTGATGAAGATTAGAGTCAGCCTCTATTTTAGAAATCAAATATCTAACCAATAAATAAATACTACGCCTGTTGACCAAACCCTATAAAAATAAAAAGAGAAATTGAAGATGGCATTAAGTTTATGTTTATTAACCGCAACTCAAAAGCAAATAACTGAGACTATTGCCGAATACAAAGAAAACATCGAAAAACTTCAAGGTCAATTAAAAGATATCACGATTAAACTTGGCATGGAAACAAAAGGAGTAAGAGTTAAGTGATAAATACAAAGCTTTAAAAAGTTGGGAAACATAATGATTATGATTTTAATCATTCAGTTAATAGAATAATGAATTTCAAGTAAATTACTTACTAAAATATTCACAAGTTGTTATGTATGAGTTTACAAATGCAAAGCATTCATTTCCATTTCTTATCGTACAAGTCGATATTGAAATTGAAATTTATACCTGTAATAGAGTTAACAAATTTGCACCATTATTTAATATGTCTAATACTGACTCCACCTACCAAATGGTTGTTCACCTATAACATTATTGTATATGATAATTCCAAACTTATAAATTTCTGCAGCTTTAGTGTATGGCTTTCCATTTAGTACCTATGGTCCAATGACTTTTTACTAAGTAATAATATACGTACTGCAATTAATTATTCATAATTTTTTATTAGTATTAACATAAATAATAATTAATAAAATAAAATCTAAGTTAATGTGATAATTTTAATAATATTAAAATATAAATGTAATAATAAAATTTCAAGTGAATTATGTTACAACATATTGCAGTTTAATAATTACAAATATTATTTCAGATTACAACTGAATTGCAATTCTAAAGTTGCAATATATTGGATTAAAGTTATAATATTATAATTTGTAAAGTAGTAAATAATAATTATTAATTGAATAAAAGTTGGTTTGATTAATTAAATTACAATATATTTTATATAATTCAATTATATCAAATATACTATAATTATTTCACATAATACTATTATTATTTGTATATTGAACAAACTTTTATATATTATTATCACAGATTTCTATTATAAAATCAACTTCAAGTAATATCAAAATTCCTAATAATTCGTTCTCGATTATAAATTTATTAAGTAGTTCATCTATGTTTTTATTAATATGGGAGTCTATGTGCTCCAATTTTTGGGACCTTTGTAATATTATAATAAATTTTGAAGATTTTAATAATAACTATAAAATTAGATCATATACAAATTGATATTTATGAATACTAAAAGAAAACTTATCAGTATTGTAAAAATTTTTTTCACATACTAAACTATAATTATTATAATTCTATTATTTTCAATAATTCTCTTATAATATATTCAATATATTTTACTTCAAAAAAATATTCAAATTGAAAATCGATTAATTAAATTTATTCAAAAATGATTAATTGATTTTAAAATCGATTTTATCTCTAATTTCTCCAATATTTTTTATTAATACTTTAAGTTAAATCTAAATAATTATTTTTTGTAATTTTTAACTTTTCATTTTCTTTTGTTTCAAATTTGTTTTACTAGACTAATCAAAAATTTGCATATTCTTATAAATTTGTATATTCTTATTAATTTGTGCAATCTGGTATTGTGTTAACTTGCTATATATTCCAAGATTATTATATTTTATTATGATTATAGTAATATTTTAGAATAATTTAGTTTTTTAATATTAAACTTGCAAATATAATTTATTCTAATTAAAAACTAATATTATTATAATAATATTATTAATTTTATTAATTTGCAAAATATTAAAATTATAAAAATAAAAATAAATAAAAATACAAAATATAATTTAATTTTATTATATTATATTAATATTAGTTTTTTAATTAGAATAAAAAATTTTTCTATATTAGAACTATAATATATATTAAATAATATTTTAGAAAATAAAATAATAACAGAAAATCTAACATATAGTATCAATCAGAAATAATGCAATGATGTTAAAATTTATTAATTAAATATAATAAAATATAAATTTTTTTCTTTATATAAAATTTTTAATTTTACTAATAAATATTTTTATTTTTACATTAAAATATTACATATTTTAATATATATTATTTTTAGATTTTTTAGATTTGATCTGATCAAATTGTACTAATTGCATATAAAATTATTATTTTTTTATAATTAAAACATATAAAAATATAATTAACTTTATATATAATTAGAACAACTTGATCAGATTAAATCTAAAAAATATTTATTAGTAAAATTGAAATCTTTTATATAAAGAGAAAAATTTATATTTTATTATGTTTAATTAATAAATTTTGATATTGTTATATTATTTTTAATTGTTACTATACATAATTAATTAACAAAAATTATTTATTAAAATTATTTATATAGAGACCTCACAAAATATTGTGAACACTTTTTAAAATAAAATAATACAAAAATCAATAATAAAGTAAAATTTATAATTCTAAATTAATAAAATTATTGAAAGATATTATATATTATATCAAAATTTTAAGTGATTTTAATAACTAATTCAAAAAATATATAAAAATATATATAAAATAAAATTTAGTATCAAACTGAAATTTATATGAAAAAATATTATTTTATAAATATGCAAATAACTTTACATCTAGTAAATCAGATTAAATAAAATTTTATCTACAAATTCATCAAGTTAAGATGTATCTAATGATATCAAAATCATTCAATTTGAATTATTAGATACAGAGATATTACATCTCAAAGATAATGTACCAAACTGGAATAAAATTTTTGAAGAAAATAATTTTTTGTGAATATTTCTATATCCAATTAATCAAATTAGATGATTTTGATATTATCAGATTCATCTTGTTTAAGTTAATTTAATAATATCAAATTATTCAATTTGGCCTACTAAATGCAAAGATATTTACAAAAATGGTTTTCTTTTGTATGGTATTTTTGAGATATTATATTTTTGCATTTAGTAATCCAAATTATATAATTTTGATATCATTAGATATATCTTGGCTTGATGAATCTGCTGATATAAAATTATTTAATTTGGTTTACTAGGTATAAAAATATTTGCATATTTATAAAATAGAATATTTTTTTCGCATAAATTTTCAGTTTGATACTAAATTTTATTTTTTTATATTTATATATATATATTTTGAACTAGTTATCAAATTTACTTGCAATTTTGATATAATGTACAATATATTTCAATAATTCTATTAGCTTAGAATTATAAAGCTTGCTTTTTTATTAGTTTTTGAATTATTATATTTTAAAAAGTGTCCACAATATTCTGGGAGACCTCTGTAACTTTAATTACAAAAATTGTTTTAATTCATAAAATTGTTTTTAAACTTGAAAATAAATAATAAAATAAAACAAAAATCTTTAACTTTTACTTTTCATTCTTATATTTAATCTTTTTGAATTTAATAAAATTAATAGTTTGATTTTTGTATTAAACAAGAATTATTGAATAAAAAGATTTATTATTATATTATAAATAAATTTTGAATTTTTTGCTTAGTAAAATTTTATAAATATTTAATAACTTTGGATATTATTAATACTCCAATTGGATTAAATCAAATTTGTAATCAAATTTGAATCATATATTTAGTATTAAATCAGGTTAAAATATTATTTCTTATTTGTATTAATTCAAATTAAATGAAAAAATTATAACTACATAAGATATTTGGAAAATAAAAATATTATAATATTTTTAATATTATAAAAAATTACCAATATACTTAAAATATAAATATATTAAGTCTTATTACTATTTTATCTTTCTTTTATTTGTGTTTGAAGCATACTTTTTAATTTTATTCATTGTAATGTTTTCTTTTATCCTATATCATTATATTCTGAATAATTCTATTTAAAACAAAAAATACAAATATATCCAAGCGATTTTAAATGTCTACCAATTGTACGATATGAAATGTCTACTTTCTTGGTACTCAGTTTAGTAGCAATTTTTTGTAGGGATATAGAAGTTTTACGAATATATTGACCCACCTTTCTTGATATACGCACCGTAATTTTTTCAGGAGTTCACTCCTGTTGATTCTAATTTTTTGACATTGTATCGGACAGTTGAAATAGGTAGGCCTGTGAGTTTACTTAGTTTTGACACAGAACGTTCAACTTCATGCCAATAACATAATAGTTTTTTTTCTTTAGTTCAAAAGTAGATTGTTCGATCTCCAAGATGGATAATGCAAAAATACGCAAATTAATTCTGTATTAGAAATAGTGAAAATAAAGCTCATCTCTTAACTTTAACGTTAATGTTAACGTCAAGTTTTATTTTATTTGTATTTGATTCGAATTGGTTATACATGTACATGTAAAATGATCGAAATGTACATATGAACGACTTTTCATTCAAGTTTTTTTGTCACTGACTATATATTAATATAAACACATAAATTGCGTATGTAAAAGCTATTATTGTGAATTTTTGTGCGATTTAAATTTACAAATCATAGAAAATTCTGATTTTGTCAGTATCTTAACACTGTTGCAATTTTTCAATAAGATAATGATCCATCAATTTTTCATTGAATAACATATGTATTATTTCTTTCCGCCATCACGATAACGATAGTTTGGAAATATAAATTCACGTGAGATATTAATACAGGACCATACTCCCACACTCCCTACCTTCCATATATGAGTGAGGCTAATGTGGAGTAATAACAAGCCACAATTAATGCCACCACAATTAAATTAACCAATCAAAAATTGAGAAAA